CTAGCAGCCAACATATTATAGTCAGACTCTTGATAAAGGAGTGGTGTCAGAATGGCAAGAATGAAGGAAAGGCTGACACTTTCCATGAGGCTCAGGACAGTTGTTAACAAAACAGCATGGGCAAGACGTTTAGGAGCTGCCTGGGCACTGGCGCTACACGGAAGAAACAGTGCCTGTCTATGCCAGAACTGAGCTGTCAGAGGAGAAAGTCCCTAGAGTAGAGGAGCTGGGCAGTCATTCCGGTTTATATTTAGCAGAACTACTCTCCCCCTTAAAATTATCCTTTAATCTTTGTATCCATCATCTAGCCTCTTGGATGAACCTAACCTCTACATAAACAATGTAAACTGTGTGCTCAAAGAAACCAACTCAGTGACTGAGCAAGTAGATCACTTCTTCCCTGAAGGCTTGGTGTTCTCATCCATAAAATGGGTTTGTTCTAAGCATCCAATGAAAGCATCTTTAGAGTATTTTTTAAAATGTGTATAAGGCATAGTGCTATGGCTGGGTAGTCCTTAAAGGTTTATGTGTTGAGGATTTGGTCCCCAGTGTAGAAGCTGATGGAATTTTTAAGAAGAAGGACTCATGAGGAAAATCTTAGCTCACTGAGGCGCTGCCCTGGGAAGGGAATTCTAGTCTCATGGGGTGAGTTTTTAAGGAAGTGAGCTATTATACAAGCCTGAGCCTGGCCCCTGGCTGCTCTCTGGCTTCCTGTTTTGAGCTGTGATATCGTGCTCCCATCTCATCCCCACTGCTGTGATCTGCTGCGACATCCTTACCAGAGGCTGAGCAAACAGGGTCGTCCAATTTGGGACTTTCAGCTTCCAATACTGTAGGCTAAACAAATTTTTCTTTATAAAGTTAGTCTGCCTCGGGCATTCTGTTGCAGCAATGAAAAGCTGACCAATGCACACCACACTATTTGCCTTACTAGAGGAGAATACCACCAGGTAAGCTGGCTCCCTTTCTGGACTAAGCACTGCTGAACATTCAACCCCAAGCCCTGAATTTCAAGGAGCATCAGTCCTACAGGTGAATGTGTTCCTTGAAAACCACTTGTTTAAAAAGCATCTTTTAAAAAACTACAATGATGGCATCTATTTTTGGAAACAGCTGTGTCAGGAAAAGTACTGCACTGATTCACAAAGCCCAAGAAGACAGCACCCCCTTCTTCCCCTACCCCCACAACAAACCACAGCACGTGCGGGGCCATCACTGAGACAGTCAACAGTCCCACGCGGCGGCCAACACATGGCTCACCTGTGAGCTGCACTACTGTGATATTGCTGAGGTGGTGCACAAAGGAGAGACAAACCATATGTGCTGTAGAGATCTGCAAAATTTCATCCCAGGGAAGCAAAACACAAAATATTTACCAAGAGTAAAGATCAATATGCATGAAAAGCCCATTTCTTCTATTCTTTTTAAAAATATACCCAAATCGGGGCTGGGGATTTAGCTCAGTGGTTCTGGCACCTGCCTCCCAAGCGCAAGGTCCCAAGTTCAATCCCTGGTACCAAAAAATAATATATATACCCAAATTGGTGCCACAGAAGAAAATGAGAAGTAGCTATAGCAAGGAGAAGAGATGTGGACTGGACAGGAACCATGACCTTTGACCTGAAGGTACCTTACAGAGCATCATTTTCAGGCCCCGCAACCCATTACCCAACAGCAACAAGGCCGCATCCCGGACATCTGTAGTTATGAGTTTCCCAGGCAGATCTACTGTGCAACTAATGCCATACACCCTACTACGAGGGGCTCCAAGCTACATAGCAAAGAGAACTAGCAAATAATTGCGAAATTCACACTCATTCTAACATACGGAAGTCCAGACGCTGATAGCAGTAACAACACAACAGTTAACACCAAAGTAAACACTGAAAGAAGGCCCTGAGTTTCAGCTTGACATTTCAAGGTGCAAAACTCCACAAGAGCATGGTGAAACTGAATGCTTAGAATGTTAAGTGTAGTGGTGGTTTCATGTCTTTGTGCATGTATCAAAACTCACAGAACTATTTGGATGCATGCACATGCAAGTGCACACACACACAAAATTATGGTATGGAAATTTAAAATAAATTAAATTTAAAATAAATTTGAAACACACAGAGGAAAAAAGGCAAATGATATATTCACTTAATCCAGTAATTCTCAGTCTTGGCTGAATTACCTAGGGAGCTTTAAAAAAATCTTGATGCTCAGCCTGCAGACCAGATCAGCTGCATCAGAAGGTGGGTAGAAGGGGATCTTCAGTATCGTTTAAAGTGCTCCAGGTAGCTAGAATGGGCAGCCCCAGTCAACTCCTCTGGAACAACAGGAAGATACCAGCAAAAATGACCTCAGCTGTGTAACATACAGACATGTGGCTCCCAAATGGTAGAAGCCCATCTATCTCTTCTTACCTCCCACTCACCCAGAGTCACTAAAATCCACTTAAGCTTCCAAACATCATGTTTTTTTCTATCAACTTCAAATTGGTTTCAAGGTATTGGTGTGACCCATAAGCCAAACACAGAGGCACTCTGACACCTACCAGTAGCATCCTTAACAACCTCAACACTTGCTGACAACCTGTAGGCTACAGTGGGTCTCAAACATCAGAAACCCCTGCAGACAGGATGTGAAAAACTGCTGACCCCACGGGGAGTGCCTGATTTAGGAGCTCTGGGTAGGGGATGAGAATCTGAATTTCTAACAAGCTGTTTGGAGGACCAGGGCTCTACAGAAATTTGCACTAAGTACATCATCAGTAATATACAAGCCAATAGTTAGCCTGAACCAGATGGCCCTCGGTTTAAGATGGTCACAGCGCTAGGTGTTTTAATGATGAGTTGTTATTTCAGTGCTGACTTCGAAAAAGAAATTGCAAGGATTTCTGTGAATCACACAACAACTTTTCTTGCTTAAAGACTTGCATTAAAATAAAAGGCATCATTTTTACCATAAAACTGGTTAGAAATGGAGACTCTCTGGCCCCATCCCAAATCTACTGAGTCAGAATCTGTCTTAACAGGCCCCCTGAGTGATTCAAATGCACATTAGCATTTCAGAAGCATGAGCCTTGACCAGGTTCCTCATTCATGGAACAGGTAGTTTCTCAGTACCTACTACGTGCATTTGTACCCAGCAGTGAATATGGCAGACAAATCCTCTGTCCTTGTGTGGCTTATACAAAGTACCAGAGCCATGGGACTTGCCCAGGGTCACAAAGCCAGTTAGTGTCAGAGACAGATTTGGAATCCAGGTCTCCTAGTTACCTGTAAGAGTAACAGAAAGAATAAAGGCAACAGCCCTATGGAATTATGAAATACACACTTGGTCTTCTTCCTACATTCTTACAGTTCCTAAAACCCTAGGAGTTTCTGGTTAAGAGTGTACTTTGTAAGCTGATGAGATAATTGATGGCTAGGGACCCCTAGGTAGCTTCAGGACGGAGGCTGATCAGGAAAGACCAACGACTGAATAGAGGGCTGGGGATCAGTCCAGCCTCGAACCTCTGGAGAGGAGACAGGGGTTGAAGTTTGAGTTGATCCCTAGAAACCAATAAGTGATTATCCCTAAGTAATAAAGCATTCATAAAAATCCAAAGGATGGGATTCAGGGGCTTCTGAGCAGCTGAACTCTGGAGTCCCCCAGAGGGCAATGTGTCCAGAGAAGGCACAGAAGCTTCGAGCTCATCCCCCATAGCTTGCCCTATGTAACTCATCTACCCATTTCCCGGAGTTCTGTCACCTCTCTCACGAATTAATTAAACCCTAGGAAGGTGTTATGGCAACTCCAATTTATAGCCAGTGGGGCAGATACCTATGCTTATGACTGTCAACTGAAAAGGGGGCAATATTGGGGAACTAAACCCTGAACATATGAGATCTGACACCATCTCCATGTAGATCAGTCTGAATCAAACCAGACAACACCTAGCCAAAAGACTGCTTGGGGGCCTGGTGAGAAGAAATCTGTGCACATTTTGGTAAAAAGAAGTCACAGAAGCATTCTGTGTCATGTTGTGGTGAGTACAGTAAGAAAAAATGAGTTTTCCCCTAAATTCTTACATATCTTCATCAAATAATTGTGGGGGGGCAAAAAATAGATGAACAACTTCTACATATCAAGTTAACAAAACTTGGGAATCAAAAATTCCCTGACCAAATCATCACTGCTGGATTATACTGGACAATAAAGAATATTTATGTAGATAAATATTTCTTGTAGGCCAGAATGAAAAAAAAATCACATTTTAAGAAGAAAAACACCTTGACCACAGGCTTTACCTAACACTGAAATCTTCGATTTGCTCAGAATGTACTGCTCTGATACATCTTGGTGATGATCCAATTATTAGTGTTCTTTTCTCACTTCTTTCTGATCTTATGAACTACCTTCTAGCTGTGGGAGTGCTAACATTTGTTCAGTTGGGTGCCTTTTACAGATTATCCAATTTAATCACTTTGTCTCTATCAAAAGAAGGAAACAGGCTCAGCAAGGTGACCTGAGTACACAAAGCCATAACAGAACACAGCTTGGTACAGCAGAGTTGGGCTTTAAATTCAGCTCTGTCTGATTCTTAATCCCTTTCACAGTGAGGTCCCCGAACAAGGTCCCCACCTGGGTGCATGTTGGAAATGCAGACCCTCAGTTTCCAGCCTGGATCTGCTGAATAGTCTGTGTTTTAATCCCCAGTGAACTAATGTTCACTGCAACATTTGGGCAGCATTGAAGGGGGACATCCCAAAGCTGAATGGCCACCTCTCACTTTTTAAGACAGTTGACAAATGTCTGTGGCTCACACCATAAGCAAGCAGCAGCTAATTATCAGAGCCTTGAAGCCACCAGAAAGAGGTGTCTGTCACATCACAAACTAACAGTGATTCACAGGGCTTCCTGTGGCTGGGCCTTTCTAAAAACAGCTACCCACAGGCTGCTAGTTAGGATTTCTCTCCTGTCTAAGTGCCAAGGAAATCTCTGGGCCAGGTGCTAACATTTGTGAACACCCATGAGAACATCAAAACACCACCAAAATTCATATCTTCCTGGCATTGTTTTTTAATAGCCACAGGGGTAAATTTCTAAGTAATGAATGAGGTGAGAACAAAAAGTACTATGTATTAGTCAGCTTTCCACTGCTGTGACAAACTGTGACATACTTACTACCTGAGAATAACAATTCAAAGAAAGAAGAGTTTATTTGGGTTTACAGTTTTAGAGGTTGCAGTCCACGGTCACCTGGCTCTATTATTTCTAACCCTGTGGTGAAGTAAATATCACAGTGGGGAGCCTGTAGTGAAACACAGTGGCTCACCTCATGGTAGGCAGGAAGGACAGAGAGAGAATGAGCCAGAGAGGAAGGAGCTAGGGATAAGTTGTGCCCTTCAAGGGCATGTCTCCAGTGACCCACCATGTTTCCTTGAAAATAAGACCTACGCAGAAAATAATCAGCCTTGAAAACTAGAGATCAAAAATGCCAGCCCCAATCAGCCCATCCTTGACATCACTGCCTTAGTGTAGCCACCAAGCAAGAGAATAGTGATGGCCTCCAATGAGACCCCACTGCCTAACAGCCCATTCAATGCCCACTGATGAGGATGAACTCATCAACAGGCTAACCCACTGATGAGGTCAGTACCCTCCTGATCCAATCTCCTCTCTAGGCTTCACCTCTGAACATCACTGCAGCAAGCCCTCAATGCATGAGGCTTTGGGGGTCACTTCATATTTAAACCGTAAAACACTATTACACTCAGAACAAAAACCAGTTCATCTAGCATCTATTGGTCTGTCTCTCTTATATAATGGCCCATTACTATCTGAGAACCCTCACTACTAAATGTAAACTGGGTCCAAACAGCTGCTGGGGAGAAGGATGGGGGTGGGGACAAAAAGGAATATACTCCACCAACTTTCTCTGATCTCTAACTCAAGTTTCTATAAGTGTGAGTCATGAACTGCCTGACTGAAAATCACATGGATGGCTATTAAAAATGCATGTTTCTGGGCCCAAGAATCTGCATGTTTAGCAGACCCTTTCCCACTGATTCCCACCCAAATAAATATCTGAGGTCTACTGCCTGACCTACGTTCAGTTAGATGAGAATTATCAGACTCATTACCTCATTTTCACAACTGCAAGGCATCACAATTCCACTTGTGTGTACACGCATGTATGCACACTGCAAAGACACATATACGTATAGAGACTCTAAATACAGGCTGTGGCTTCGTGTCTGGACACACATCTATGTCTTCTCACACACTTAATCTGGGGAACTCTAGCGTCTCACTTCCCAGGTATGCACGGCCTGTCTACACACAGACTGGACACCCTTCCTGAGAACAGGGGATGACATCTGTAACCCCTACATCACCTCTCACATAGAAGCAGAGAACACTTCCAAACAGAAGTGAAGATCACCCGGGACACAGTTGGGGACAGAGACTTTTGGGCCAGCATCTTAAGCTGATGGAGAAGACATGAGATTTAAATTTTTGGCTTCAATTTAGAAGTAAAAGACCTTTAAGATTCCCACGGGGCCTGTTCAGCAGAGAATGCCTCCTGACCTATTGAGCCCACTAGGACTGGCCAGGCCACTCCATAGCAGGGGCCTGAGATGAACCGGTATTGGCCTCACTGGGCCTCAGAGGGGACTCTGAGGAGAAGCAGAAGAGAAGCCCCGGCAAAGTAGATACTGATTTTTGTGATATTTTATTGGCTTAGTTGAGTCCATTGATTATGTGAAATAATAAGTGTATGATCTACATGACCTATGGCATTACTGCCCATTCCCCACAGCCCACCTACCCATGCCCACCATCAGTGCAGGACCAAAGCCTTTCATTTACTCCTCTGAGCAGGTCTTCAGCAGTTCCCACTGGCAGCAGTGTAGATCCAACACCCTTTATCACCACTGAATTCTCAGAGAGACTCTCAGAGTTCCTCAGCAGGGTGCAACAGAGCCTCCCTGACCTGAGCTAAAGGCAGAGCAGGGATGTAGGGGGTCATATCTCTGGCCTAGCCACGCTGCTAAGCAGCAACACACATGGGGACATCACATCTCAGGGACTCAAAGTCACCTGATCCCTTAAACTGCCCTAAAGGTGCTTCCAGGCAGAATGCTCCACAAGTCTAAGCAAATGTTCTATTTCCTACAAGGCATTTGGCACCCTGTTATGTAGTAAAAGAAGCCAAAATTGGCTAGAAAAGGGTGATTGCAGTAAGTTTTCACCAATTTCTAATATCCAAGGAAGAGTACATTCTAACATTATCACAGAGGAGCCATTGTACTAACCTCCAGTGCGGCTCTGCCAAAGGCCTGAGAAAATATGACTGGAGAGGGTGGGCAGTGAGGTCCCCAGAGCCATTTCGTAAGTGAACATGAGGATGTGTTTAATAAATTCTAGTAGAACCAAGTTACATAAATCTGCACGCACCAGTTAATCCCATGCCAGCTTTAAATCATCTCTAAGAGACTGGCATCCATTTCCAGGAGATCATACAATGCTGGAGACCCCACCCTCACCTTGGAGATGGTGCCCTACCTAAGGATATGCAGCATGTTAAGTCTACTGAGCAGATGAGACACACCAAAGAGACAGTGGAGGAGGGGCTCTGGACAGGAGGGTGACATCTACAGTTAGATGCTACAGAGCGGGAGCCATGTGACCCCTGTGGCTAGGGCAAATGAGCACCTTACATCCTCACTTTCTTTACATGGAAAACTGGACAGTTACCAGTGATCCCATCAGGATGCTGTGTCATGGATTCATATACACAGATACTACGAGGATGACCACAACATTATACTCATCCTACCTAGTTAACCTGATGACTCCAGGTAAGTCATTTTAGTTCTTTGGGCCATTTTTTTTCCCTTGAGTATAAAACCAAAGGAAGTCCTTTCCAATCTCCAAATCTTTTTAACCTAAGCCCTTCTCTATTCATTTCCTAAGGTGACTCATCATGAACAGCAGACACCAGCTTGAACTTCCGGACCCTCCCATGGTTTCTCAAACCTCTGTAGGAATGAGTGAATAAAAGCAAGTGTACAGACCATGCATGAACTCAGCAGAATTGATTCTGGACTCCAACGCTGTGAGTTTGAATCAAAGTCACAGGTGATGGCTACCTCAACAGGTATCATTTACTGATACTATATGGCAGGGACACCTGTTTAAAGGACATGATTTTATCTCTTCATTCTAAGGCTACTCCATAGTATGAGCCAGAAGCTCTGTGTGAGGCACAGAGAAGAGCAATGACTGGCTTTTGTTCCAGAAGATGCCAACAAGGATGCTAGGGTACATATGTACATGTACACACACACACACACACGCACAGCTCCTGGAATCAGAATTATTCCATCAAAAGAAAAGTGTGGAGCCTAAAATCCCCCACTTACAAAGCTCCTATTCACAGCCTTGTGAAAATCAGAGAGATTTCCATATTAGAAGACATTTTTATTTTGCAGCACTGTAAAGGTGAGGTTACAAGGACACAGGAATGCTGGTATAGCCCAGAATTCCTCCAAACAGAGTCCCAGGGCAGCTTCAGGGCTCTTTCCCTACAGGGAGTGGAAGGGTCGGGTTTTATGTTTACAAATGCCTCACTGGGAAGCAGAGCGGTTCCCACACCAAATGGCCCTCCGTCCGGGCCTCCAAGGAAACAGGAGCAGCTTGTGGCCCCAGTAATCTGAGATGCTCCGCAGGCTGGGGCTTCCAGGTCAGCCCCAAGGCTGTGAGCTCCTCATAGCCAGGGTCAGATGGGAAGCTCCATATAGGAAAGGAAGTCAAGTGCATCTCACATTCCTACAACAGTGTGCACCTTAATTGCCTTTTCTCTTCACTTTCTAACTTAAGGATTTTTTTAATTGGCCTTCATGATACTGACTCAAATTTACTGAGGCGCACAAATGGTCACTTTTCATAAATGTTCCTTGTGGATTTAAGAATTCTGTTTCTATGCCCCAACTTATGGGGCTGTGTTCTACTTATGTCCACTCGATCAAGCTAGGTTTTCCGTTTTGTTATCGCAGTACTTATTTCCTATTTGATATATTGATTACTGGTGAAAGTATATGAAATTTTCTCATTTTATCAATGGAACTGTCAGCTTTTTCCTGTAAGGATCAGCTCCCTCTCTCCCTCCCTCTACACACACACACACACACACACACACACACACACGTTTTTAAGGGCAAATTATCACAGAATAATTATATATTGCAGATTTGCAACTTAGCTTTTGTTACCATTTCATCAGCAGCTTCAGCGTAGCTTGGGTGTGAGTCCCAACTCTGCAACCTACTCTGAAGGCTCAGTTGTCCTATCCATAAGAAGGAAATATACTTCCAACCTCACAGGATTCTTGAAAGGACTAAACAGGAAAGGCTACGTCATATACTTAGCATAGTGCCCAACTCTAAAGATGCTGCTGCTACTAATAAATGATCCACGCCCTGCCTATGATGACGTAGCCGCTTTCTAGTAACAGATTAAAGCCTGCTGGCCCCCTTTCTTGTCAATCAGAGAGCTGGATAAAGCAGGGAAGAGGCAGGTGGGTGAAAAGCATTTATTCCTGGGCCTTACGACTGGGCAGGTAAAGAACACCACCAGCATGTCCACACCTTATTGAGAACATTATGTCCCATGTCAGCTCAACACTTTTTCTTCCTGAACTCAACTTGAGTTTTCTCCCTCTGGAATTCATTTCCCCTCATTGCTGGCTGGAGGGCCCTGTTGAAATAGCCACCCAACAATGCATGTTCTAGACTGTGGTGTATCTAAAGCAGGCAAAAATTAGTGTGTCAACTGTAGGTAGCTTCTGTGGACTTAGTCCATCCCCAGGATCCACGTAATTGTGCTGGGAAGGAGAGGAAGTTGCAAGTGTGCAAGCAAGCTCAGGGCAGGTCATTCATTTCACTAGCAGTTTCCAAATCTTCTACAACCCTCTCCCACATCCCAAAGGGGTGTGTGAATCTTTGTCAAAGTCAAAGTTAATTGTACATCAGAGGGAGAAGATGCAATTTTCTTCTCTGGCTTTTGAACTCTGAAATTCACGCCTGGGAGTCATTCTGTCCTCAAAATGTCAGCTGCAGGGGAAGAAAAATACAACCAAAAAGGCAGAATAAGCCAGCAAGAGAAGCTGCCAAACAGAAGAACATTCTTAGAAAGCCTTAGAGGTTAGCAAGTCCAGAATTTGCTTTTAAAGTATTAACAACAATAGAAGAAAAAACCCAAAGAACTACCCACCCTTGCTGCAAAGTAACTTCTGAGACAGTTTTTACCTCCTATCCATGTGCAGCAGGCGTCATGGTCTGGGTCTAGATGTCCGCCCAAAGCCTCATGAGGTCAGAGGGAGGGGCTCTTCAGAGGTGGCTGGATCAAGAGTGTGTGACACTGGGATTGATTCACAGTGCGATGCGAGGATTAAGGATGTGAGTGCTACTGGCCCCAAGGGAGGGTAGCCTGGATAAGATATGAGAGACAGAAGGAAGCTTGTCGCTAGCCACCTGCCTGCTTTTGCTGTCTTCTGCCTGCCATGGACTGCTCCTCTGCCTTGGAGCCATGCAACTATGAACTGAAACCTCTACAAACTACAAACTACAAAAATAAACCTTTCCTCCTTTAACTCTGGGTGTCAGGTATTCCATCTTAGCAACGAGAAAAGTAACCAAGAGAGCAGGTAACCACAAAGAGTCCATGGGGCATCCAGGGTGGATTCTGGCTGGCTGTGCCAGGCCCTTGGCACATGAAGCGGAACATCATGAGAACTTTACAAATGGACCACCACAGCCAAACCTCAATTCAGAATCCAATCCCTGATCAGCCAACTGTATGAGTTGTCAAACTCAAAAATAACCTTATTGTTACAGAATTTATATCACATAGATTCCCCGTTTCTTGGTATCTTCCCTCTAAAATAGGAGGGAAATGATGTCAGCCAATGCTATGCCCAGCTTCCTTGAGATCCTTGAGAGTTCTACCACCATTTTTCAAAGAGCAAAGCTGGGCATCTCTCAAAGTGGTCTCCCTAACCCAACTCCAGGACCCCATACTCCGCATCAGCCATTCTTCCTCAACCACTGCATAGATGTCAAAAACCCATTTGGAGAGGAAAAAGACGGGCAGGATACTCTCCTTGCCCTTCAAGCCTCAAGCTTACAGTTTGAGCACTTGTATCCCAGAATTCAAAGGACTGAACACAATTCATTCTCAATCTCTGTGGCCAAAGAAATAACAGAGAATAAAAAAAAAAAAAAGGAAGATTTAAAGTGGAATATTCTCCTTCCTTCCATTCATGCCAACAGGGCAAGTAACAGTGTGGAAATTTCTGTATCTCTAATTTCACTGTCTACTCTGACAAGGACAAAGTATGAAAGGAATTCAGCATACACAATCCTGTCAAAAATTATCAAGTATATAAAAAGTAAAAGGTCTCCCGCAAAACAGCTGAGCAAGAATGAAAAGCAAGACACCAAAGAGGCTACCTTTTACAACAGCCTATCTCATCAGGAGACAGAACTTCTCCAACAGCTAGATACACACAGAAAGTAAACGAATGATATTGAACCTCCTAAATCTACAATTTGATGCTTCTTTTTCCATTTAAGAACACATATGGTCATGTTTCCATTCATCCCCCTGATCTCTTTGCTGTAGCTAGGATTTCCTGTGTCAAAGCAGGAACAGTTTGACGTACTATTTCATTGTCAATGAAGGGGTAGAAACAAAACCTGCTCACACTCGTATTCCTCACATATTCAAGATGGCAACTGTGAGGTCCTCTTTCTCAGCCTCGCAAAGGAAGTTTGTGTGTCTACAGATGGACTCACATGTGTACACAGTACCCAGCTCTTGTGCCTTCAACAAACTTCAAGTGGAAATTTCAGGCTTCTCCAAGAAGCAGGGAGAGGGACGTGTACCATTTCCTCTCACAAGGGACAACTAACAAACACAACTTTAGGAGACATACAACAATAAAGAGTTCAGATTCCCAAAGAAAGGGATATATATCCCTCAGATCTTGACTCAAATTCTTCACCTTAACTGAAAGACTTTTTGAAAGCTTCAGAAATCTTTTCCTGGAGACACAATCTCAGTTGTACACACCCATAATACTGTTTCACTGAGAACCATGTCGCTGATTTAATAGTCTTGAAGCACCAAACAGACACAACCCACCACAAACCTCACGCTCCTCCTGGGCCACCAGCCAGACTCCCTCTTTGCCCATCACCTCTACTTCCCAGTCTGACTTCTGTAGCTGACATAGCCCATACCAGCCAATGAAGGGAGGGGCAAACTGGAGCCATCCATTCACAGTTCTCCACTCTGCACAGAGGCAGAACTTCCAAGGTTAAGCGTATTTAATATGCTCTCATCATCTCCCACTAATGATGTAAATTGAAATGGCACAGGAAGCAAATTCCCTCAGTGTCTCATTTATGAGCCACGAGGGATGCAGCTTACAATAAAGACGTGAGCAGTAACAGAAAAATCAACATGGCCCAGGCCAAAACTTGATGCCATTAATATTCATGAGATATTTACCAATAAGAAATCCTTAGCCTCTTCCACCCAAAGGTCCTGAGCTCACCAACTCCGAGTGGTGTAATGTCTGCCTTTTACTAAAGGATATGTCTGATTTAAAACCCCCAACTCCATGAAGACTTTGGGCTCCAGAGTCCACCTAGCTCTGCCACTTAGATCCCTGTGACCTTGGCCAATGTGCTCAACCACTTAGTACCTCCGTTTACTAATCTGTAAAATGGGAACAATAGCACTCACTATTTTGTAGCACTTTTGTGAAGTTTAAGCAAGTCAGTATTTCTAACTGTGCTTAGAATTCAGTATGGCCCATGTAACTGCTCTGTAAATCTTTAATATTGCTCCTCCTTCTTTTAGCATTATGCTGCTTCCTCACTCTGAAGAAGGCAGGGCTCACAGCGATGGGCTCTCTGCTCCCCACTGGGTTTTTGTATGTATTACTTCATTTAGTCCTCAAAACACTTGTAAAAGGCAGATAAGAATGTGATTTTCCTTGCTTG